ATTTATATTTCTTTGAATCTGAAAGGTAGCAACTCAGTTATTATCAATAACTTGTGTTGATGTATATATTCAAAACATAGGGTTTTTTTGGGGGAAATTAACAGCATAAGATGCCTTATTTTTAAAACTCATTTTGTCATTAAAATACCCCACAAATCTTGCACAAAATCATTAAATAATATGTGATTGCATTTCAGTGGTGTCCATATGAAGAAATAAGTGTTTGAAATTTTTTCCCTCCAAAACCCACAGGTAAAGTGACGATATATCGAGTGTGTTGTATTTAGAAGTGAAAATTTTTGCTGTGATTAATTATGGGGTGATAGGGAGACAGAGAGAGAGAGAGAGTGTATGTGTGTGTGTATGTTCTGAAGTTCTTACGGTTGTTTTTTATGTTTCAAGTCTCATCTTTAAAACATTCTTGTGGTATCCCAAATGGCAGCTAGGTGGCGCAGTGGATAGAACATTGGGCTTGCAATCAGGACTCTTCCGAGTTCAAACGTGGCCTCAACACTTACTGGCTAAGTAAGTCTGGGCCAGTCATTTAACCCTGTTTGCCTTAGTTTCTCTTCTGTAAAATGAGCTAGATAAGGAAGTGGTAAGCTACTCAAGTATCTTTGCCTAGAAAACTCCAAATGGAGTCACAAAAGAGTCGGACACCACTGAACAGCAAAGGGTATCCCAATGTGATAACTTAGCTAACATCTTGGATTGATTTTTTTTTTGATGATTCCACCTCTCGATTGGACTGCATGGAAGGAAAAAAATGGAGCAGAGTCAGGTCCAGTGTCTTCCTCAATTCAATTAATCAAAGTAGCACATTACTTCTTAATTCTCTATACCAGATGTGCTAGAGTAGTATTCTTCTGGTCATGCTGTTGTGTGAACAAATTTACCTTGTCAAGTAAATATGATTAAAATGGAAATGTTCACAATATATATACAATTCAACAAATGATTGATATGTAAATGGACTAAAAATGAAAAGTTATTTTACTATTATTTTCTTGGAGCCAAGTATGTAAATTTTTCAAGTTTTCTCATGGTTTTGTCACTTGAATTTTCTAACATCAAGGTGGGAAAATGTTTTATTTCCTAAAGTAATACTTTAAAATAGTTTTAATTCTTTCACCTCTATCACTGTTTTAAACCTTTAGATATTAAAATGTCATGGGTAAGAAGAAAATTTTGACTAGCCTCCACATTCAAGCTGCATTGGATTAAAATCCATTCTACACATAAAAATACATAGCATGGGTTCTATAACTTTATTTTTTTAATTCAATTTTATTTCATCTTCAGTTCCAGATTCTCTACCTCTACCTCCCCTTCTCCCACTAATTGAGAAGACAAGAAATACAAAACCCGTTACAAATATGAAATCATGCAAAGCAAATTTCTGCATTAGCTGTATTTTAAAAAGGAGAGAAAAGGAAAACAAAAATTGCTTCAGTCTGCATTCTGAATCCATCAGTTCTCTGAAAAAAAGTGCTATCCACCTCCAGATGGAGAATTGATGGGCTCTATGACTTTTCTTGATAATCTATTCATAATTTTAAATTCTAAGGTTTTCTTTTATACCTAAGTTTCTTCTTTACTCCCTTTACCCATTTTTTTCCAACTTGAATAATCTATTTGCTTAACTTCCTAGATATTGGTTTCAACATCTTTGGTGATGTTTGTGGTATTCCTTTGATCTTTAAGTTCTTTAGTTGCAGAGCTGAGATTAGCAAATAGCAGTCAGTCTAATGAGAATATGGCCCTTACTGATTTTAGTAGTTCTTTATCCATGGCTCTTTTTTCTCTGTTGATATTCTTGTGTCCTGGATCAAGGTTGCTTTTTAAACTCTTAAAATATTACCTGAATTAACACATGCATGATAAATACTAAAATAAGATGAAAAGTCTAATGATTACTGAGCTTTCCAGAAAATAGCTGGCTGTAATAAGGCATAGTAGTCAACATTCCTCAACTCATTGTCTTTCTCTTCTATAGTCACTGGTCCTTTCTCAAGTTATCTTGACTCCCCAGCATAATCAGCATTGCTTGGTGGGTAGAGCTAAATATGAATCAAGAAGAGCTGGATTAAAATTCTGCCTTAGACGCTAGTTGTGGCATCCCAGACAAGTCATTTAATCTCTCCAGGTCTCAGTTCCTCGTTAGTAAAAATGAGGGGGTTGGATTAGATAACTTCTAAGGTTCCTTCTAGCTCTAAATCTGTAATCCTATACCAGTGAAAATTATGATAATATTAATAGCTAGCACTTATATAGCACTTTAAGGTTTGCAAAACATTTTGCAGATATCTCAGTCCTCACAATAATTCTGGGAGGTAGGTGTTAGTCACCATTTTACAGATGAGGAAAACTGAGACAGAAATTAAGTGACTTGTCCAAGGTCAAACAGTCCCAGGCTGGGTTTGAACTTGGATCTTCTGGATTCTAGCTCCAGTTCTCTACCTATTGCATCATTAATAGAAAGAAAAGAGGATCAGTTCAGTGTCTATATTTGAAGTCCCAGTCCTACCACTAATTTGCTAAGGAGTTTGGGCAAAACCCCCTCTCTGGGTGTGTTTTCTTATCTATAAAATGGGATTGGATTAGTTTGCTTCCAAGTTTCTGGTTTATCAGCCTCTGAGTGTATTTAAACTTTTTCTTTCCTTCAAATTTGTTTCCACCTGCATACTTTATTTCCTTCTTATAGTTATAGCTTCTCTTATTTTCTCCCATATGCAAGGATTTTTTAAAAAAAATTGCATCATTAAATTCCATTGTTTCTATGAGACAAATAAGTACAATAGCCTGTGACCTCTATCGCATTACTGTGTCATCTAAATTTGATATTTCCCCCGATATTAGCCAGTTTTCTGCATGTGACTTACATTTCTGTAGTGCTTTTAAGTTTATAAGATGCTTTTCTTATGACAGTATGGTGTGGTAATTGTAAGGTATTATCCCTGTTCTACCGAAGGGCAAATGGAGGCAGTTGAAGTGACTGGCTTATGGTCATACCACGAGTCAGTGTCAGAACCTGTACTCCAACACAGGTCTTTTGACTCCAAATCTAGTAGTTTTTCCCACTAAGCTTTACTGCCTTTGACTTAAATGGAGAACAGTCCTTGTTCTGCAGCTCCCTAGTACCAAAAGCAACAACTGTTGACTGAATGGCAGATAAGCACACAGCTCATCCCTTACAGCCATCATCAGGAAAGGCAACTCCTGTGCAGATGGGGCCACTTATCACCAACTGTGCTGGGGGTCCGCCTCCCCACTTCCTGAGGTGAGCTAGCCTAACAGAAGCAGCAAAGCCCCTGGAGGGAGAGATAAGAAGCAGCATGTGCCCAATAAATAAATCGGCGGTCATCTCTCTTCAGACCCTGCTGGAGACAGCCCAGGACTCTGAACCCCAGAGCCTTGGGAATACAAATGCTTCAGAATTACCATCTGCTTTGCCACTGTAACATAGGGACCACGGGACCTTTCCATTTGTCCTATACTGAAATCCTTCTATGTGTGTGGTTTCCTTTATTAGAGGTGAGCTCCTTGAGAACAGGTCCTGTCTTACTTTTCTCTCTGCATAGCTCTAGAGTGTTTAACGAAGTGCTTTATCCATAATAAGTGCTTAATGCTTTTCATTCAGTCATTCCTTCATTTCCAGTCCTGCTTAGAGAACAGGAGAAATGGTCATCGCTAAGGGTGGACCTAGGAAAACTTCCCTTATCTGATCAAATGGATTGGAAAGTGACGAGAACTGAAATCCCTGTTCCATAGAATTTTGGTTGGCAAAATCCAGTGCTGATGCCTTGTAGCTGCAATGATTACTTGATTCCCCCAGAGACAGAGGCTCCCAGGGTAACCTGACTGACAACTTTCTTTCGTTTTTTCCTCCACTCGTTTTCCTTTGTGCTATATGAAAAAGTCTGCCCCCCCATCAATCTAAAAGGCATGTTAATTCATCCTTCTTTTTGAAATATTCCTTTAAAGAATTCTGATCATTTATTATTTTTTTATTTCTGATTAACATCTCTAATGTGAATTACCCATTTCCTTTTTATAATTCTATAAATTATAAGTTTTTTAGCCCTCTTTAGTAACTGAACTAATTAAAAATTGGGAACAAAAATTAGGAATGTGCACTTAAATGGTTGAGAATTTATACTTCTAAAGAAAAAAAATGCCTTTGTGATTTTACTACTGCTTTATTTACTATAGAGTACCAAATCAACTTGAAGAGCAAAAAGAACACTGGATTTAGAATATAAGGATTTCATTTTGAGTTCTGGTTCCACCACTTACTGCCTTTGTGACTATGGGTAAGTTATTTCACCCACCTTGCCTTCTGTTTCCTCATCTATAAAATGAGGGGTTTGTACTAGCTGACCTCAGGTCACCCAGGCAATTACTGCTTCTGGTCAGGTTAGCTTTGTGCAAAGATTTAGTGTGCCTAAATCTCAGTAGAAGGATGAAACCCCAGTGTTGAGGGGTGACCGTCTTCTAGGAATCTTTCGGAAGCAGCTTCATTCTTATGATCTTTTTTTTTTTTTTAAATCACAATGGGACAGTTAAAGGAACTTTAGAGATAGGCCACAAAAGTTTTTTTTCTTCCCCTTCAAGGATTTAAAAAGAAATTTATCATGACAAACAAACCAAGCTTCTGTAACTTTTAAAAGTAAAGCTATATTTTATTTAAAGTTTAGGGTTATAAATTACAGAATTCAAAGCAGTTGTGTAAATGTGTTATTATGAAGGTATATAAATTACAGGGTCCAAAGCAGTTGTGTAAATACATTATAAAAACTCTTACACACAAAGGCAGCGACTTGGATTAGAATCCATCAGCATAATATAAATACAAATATATATGTACATAATTATTTCCTTTTATGTCAGATAAATCTATAAAATAAAAAATTAGGAGTATTTATATCATTTTATAGTAGACGTGTGAAAAATGTACTATGATAGAACAATCTTGTTCCAAAAATTGAAACAATTCCGTGTAGTAAAAATGTTCTTCATACTACATATGAACTTATTGGTAATTCTCTGGATATGAAGTTGTTCTAAACTGGACAATCTGATAAAGAGCTCCCCGAATTTTATTTTCATTATAATTTTGTTTCCATTGGTACCTGAAAGAGAAAAAGGCTTATTTTAAAATAAGGCATGTTGAATTTGAACAGTTTTCATGATTGAACATTGTACTTAATGTTTAGAGCAGGGCTAGATATCCCAATTTTACCAGGATCATTGATAAATGTCTACATTTAAAAAAAATTTTTTTTCTTAAATGTCAATGCCCAGCCACATTCCGCTGTTATTAGTTGGTTAGCTGAGCCTTAATTAACTGTCTCTGTACCTGGGGCAATCTGGTTGAGGGAGAGCACAGATTGTAAGAGGGGCATTTATGCTGGAGGAGGCAGTCCATCCCCAGAGAGTGTAGCCCTTGCCTTTCTTGGGGTTGATGGGGGTGGCGGGTTCTATGGCAATAACTCTGGGTATAGTAATGCCACATGCTACGGGAGGACTTCTGATGGTCACTGTGAATTGGAAGGAAGTATGCCACCTCCTTTGTGCTCTGGGATGAAACACTGTTTATGTTAGTTCTGGCAATGTTGATTGGGTCTGTCTTATATATGTATTTATATTGTATTTTTGGTTTATCATAGTATTGGTAGTCAATGCAATGCATAATAACAATTTTTCTCTCCTTCACCCTTTGCTTCTGAAGGATATTACATAAAACCCTTAGTAGTTTATCCACCTGTAACATGGAACCTTTCTTCTGAAATGGCTGAAGTTTTCATTTATCCTGACCTCTGAGAAAGGGTGGGTTGGTGGGACTAATATTATGATTCCCTTTCCGAAGATGGGGGAGGTTGCTTTGAATAGTTGGTAGCAAGGCCAGAGATTAGACCCCAGTGTTTCTGACAGCTGTTCAGTGTTCACTGACCTGGAACCTTGAAGCCTAGTAGAGAAGAACTTCAGATGAACCTCATACCTCTGTTAATTAAGTGACAATTCAAAAGCCAGACACCATAGGAAGCAATTTTAAGTTCTTTCTTAATATTTTCCATTTCACAGCACCTATTTCCTAAAACTCCTTTCTCTTACAAAAAGATCTTAAAAGTTTGTAGCTGTTGATTTTCTTTTTCATCATCTTCATTTCGGAATATATTTCTCCTCCTTCTCCTGCCCAGTGGACCATTGCACATCAAATGAGTCTGATGGTATATGCAATGTTTCACACTCACACATAGTCCTGCACCTCCTCTTCAAAGAAGGGAGGGAAGAATGCGTAATCTCATCTCTTCAGGGCCAGGGTCAGCCGTTGTCCCCTCTCACAGCGTTCATTTTTGGCTACACCTCTTAAGAATCTTAGTCCTTCCAACTCGAAGAATTCTCTTAAGGGTAAGCATATCCTACAAAGTTCCACTTCCTGTTTGAACTCTGTAGCAGAGTAGGTGATCTGGGTTTCAGTCCAAGCTCCATCCTTAATTGGACCTCCGGTTCCTCAGTTTCCTTATCTTTAGAATGGAGATAACAACACCTACCTTATCTTTTAGGAATGTCATGAGGCTACAGGGAGATAATAGCTGGCAAGCATTTTGAAAAATGATATATAAATGATGCAGATTATTACCAGAAATTCAGTGGCATTATTTTTAATAGACTTTGGAGTGATTTGGGTTTAATGCTCCTAGTAGCTCCCTGGAGATTATATATTAAAAATAACTGACATTTATGTAGTGCTTTCAGATTTGCTTTATACACATTATATCATTTTATCCTCACAACAACTGTGTGAATTAGGGTCTTTTATTATCCTCATTTAACAGATGAAGAAACTAAGGTATAGAAAGATTAAATGACTTGCCTAGGGTCACACAGTGAGAAAATTGTAAGGTAGGGTTTGAACTCAGGGCTTCTGATTCCAAGTCCAGTGCCCTATCTACTATGCACCATTGCCTCACCATCTTTCAAGAGCAAAGCACAGAGGCCTTGTAGAAAATCCAAAGGACTTGTCCTTTGGTTCCTTCGTACATTTCTGCCTCTGACTTCCTGAAGTTTGTTAGTAAAGAGCAAATAATCCTCCCTGTAGCTACTTCATGTGGGAATCATCTGTCAGTTCATGGCAGATGAGCCTTACCCGACAATCCCTATTGCGTAGTCCTCCATTTGTGTTTATAGTAAAATCAGCTTTCGCTTCTTTCTCCTGCAATAAAAAGAAGTTCTAGGTTACAAGGCAAGCATAAATTTCCCTTTATTTTAAAATATACACTTTTCAAAATGATCCAGTTCGATTCCTAGAGACTACTCTAATCTCTTCAGTGAACTCAATGTCACTATTCTCTTCTAATGTTAAAGTTGTGAGGCATTATCACTTACCTCATTGTGTTTGTACTTCGAAATAAGGTCACTCTTTTTCATCCAAATGTGCAAAATGGCATCATGAATCGTCAGGAAAAATATCGAGCTCTGGACTTCTTGGTCAAAAAATCCACACTGTTCAAGCTTTTCTAATAAATGATCTGAATGGAAACAAAATGAAAATGTATAAGGAAAACAAGAGTTTGAACACAGAGTCCTTTGATTAAGGCGGCTTTAGATGTAGACATTATTGGCAAATATTTCGTTCGTCATTTATGTCAGCTGAAGTTTTGGTGCCTTGCTATGCTGTGGCAATAATGATAGTTCATGCTTTTCTAAGGTTTTATGATTTAGATAGCACTTTTCTCACATCCACCCTGTGATGTAGGCAGTCTGTATTATTATTACCATTTTACAAATTAGGAAAATAGCATTTTACAGATGAGGTTAAATGATTTGCCCACAGTATCATCGCTGATAAGTGTCAGAGCAGGCTCCAGACCCCTCTACAGAGTTTCTGTCCCAAAGTCCCTAATGCTTTCCCATTTCACCATTCAGCTAGCTGGGATATCACCAAACCATTAGCCTACTATTACAATAGCTTCTAGAGGACGTCCTAACATATTTATTAAATCCTCTTATTCATATGACAGTATGGGTGAGGGTGGCATGAAAATAGTTTCAGTTGGTGACTGAACTAAGTCGATATCCTTTTGTACAGATGACCTTGCAAGTTGAATGGTTTCAACACTGAATTTTGCTTTTGGCATATTTTTGGTCTAGTTGAAAAAGCAAAACACAGTCTACCTGCCTGATAGTACATGAGGATTCTTTGCTGCCTCACCTTTAGTCAGTTACAGCTACAGCTATCCCAGGTGCCCACCTTGTAGGCCCATTTCTTCAAGAGCATGATTATGTTAGGAGGCAAATCCATTGTTTAGCACTTGTCTCCCTTATCTTTGGAGCAATTGATTTGTTTTTGTAAGCACGGGAGTTGCATGCCCCCATAATTAGCAGCAAGTGGAAAGGGGTTACTAATTACAGTGAAAACTTAGCATTGTGGTGATGTTGCATTCCCCTTAAGACTTCTATCAGAGTGCTAAGGGCAAAGAGAGTGTTTGTTTTGCATGCCAGTCTATTCTGCCTTCTAAATTAGGACTCAAGCTAGATCATTGTACCTAGAGACTCACTAAATACAATTAAGATATTCACTGATTTATTTAACAAACATTTAATAAGCACCTATTGCATGCAGAGCACCATGCTTGGCTGGGGAGATAGAAAATGTAAAGAAGATTTAGTTCCCTGTCCTCAAGGAATTTACAGTTGAGTAGTAATGGTGATACCAGGATGGAATTAGAGGCCAGCACACTCTGGGGCAAGTATTATCTTTGCCCCTTCCAAAGAAGGGATACGTTCTGCCTCTTGGGAAGGGGAAATGCCAGGGAATGCTCACCCCAAAGAACCAGGTCCACCAGCTCTGAGATTTATGGGTGTTATAATGGTATTACATAAGGATTATTGTCTTTACCTTTCCCAGCAGAAAACATCTTTGCTGTTAAAGTTGATATTTTGAGGTTATAGCAACCCGAAGGAAAAATTCATAGGAGTAAGACATACTTTATGGCCTGAGAAGTCTCAGAATTTATGTCTGAATATTATGTACTTAAAAAGAAAAAAAAATCAGTTATAAATTTTATATTCATATTCTTAGGAGTGTCCTTGTATATTCTGCCCATGCAGTAGGCCTGCTTAAAAATACTAAATAATGATTAGACATAATGTTTTTTAAAGAATTTCAAGCTTTCAGCTCACTAATTACTTTCACATCTGTTGTTAATCATGAACATTTTCCTTATTCTTAATGATCCTTTGAAATCCTTTTTTTTTAAAGCTATGCTAATGTTATTTTTTTTTAAAGCATAGGATAAAGTTTACTTAATGGTTTTTGTAGGACCAGCTGCTATTTAGGCCCTTCTGGTTTTTCTCCCATTAGGATGATACCTGTTCCTTTGGAATTGTGTTCAGAGTAGGCAGTGCACCAATTAAATGAAGTGTGGAAAAGAAGAAAGACAACTCACCATCAGCCCCAACAATATACACATCCACCTCGATCCTGAGAAATCCTTGCAAAATCTGTGAAACAGAAAGCATGTTTTTCTTAAGGAAACAATCTGATGTCAGAAACTTAAAGAGAACAATGGTGATTGTACCTTTTGGGAGATATACAGCTATAAGAACTTTTGCATAGTGAGTGGATCTAAATTAGTAGGTAATAGCCATGGGACAAATTTCCAGGCTGGGGAAGAAAAAAAAGAGCTAATAGGAGAAAGTGTGCCTGTTTAATTATAAGAAACTAAAAATGGTGTCTAATAGTTTGTGGCCATAGTACATGGGAAAAATTTCCAATTAAGTTTCTTTTTAAATAAAAGTTTTTTTTTAATAGGAGGCTCAACAAAGATCTGTATATTAATTAAAAGCAAGTAGGGACCTACAAAAAACATTCACCAGCAGATGAAATTTTCACCATTTCTATCCATTACAGCCAGCTAGTACTATCAAATGAAATCATTTATGTTCTCGGTGTGTCACTTTCCTTGTTTAAAATGAGAGGTTGTTGGAATGACTACATGACCTCTGAGGTCCTTAAATCCTAAATCTGAGTTAACAATTCTGATTGTATTTTGATACATTTTTGCAAAGCTTAAAGTATTATATAAATGTTAGCTATAATTACTACCCCAGTCTCAAACTGTATCTTCTAACTCCCTAGATCTTTAAGCTGAGAGGTTACCAACATTTCCAACAAAATATACATCCAGGCATAACTAGGGCTAAATTGGAACAGAAAAAAAAGGTTTTTTTTCTTATTCTGGTTATGCATTATTCATTACATGTATCATCATTGCTAACAATGAATGTATCTTGGATACAGGGTACCATGCTCTAGGTGTTAGAAGTATCAAAAAATGTAAAGCATGGTCCCTACCCTATGAGTCACCATGGATGAACCTAAACAAACATTAACCTCATGTGTAAGGTAAAATTGAATGAATCCAAATCTATTTACACTTTATAGGTCTGACCCTCATAAACACAGACAGGTTGAAAACCCAGGAAAAAAGGGCAGAACTTGTAACATTTTCTTTAATCCTAGATATAATTTGGGCTATGTGAGTTATCTCTTCAGTTGTAAAAAAAAAAACTTTTATGAAAATAAACCTCAAAATCTGATGATTTCCCACAATGACAGGCTCAAACAATAGAAACTACTGACTGAAAAAAGCCACATTTTCACAGGGCTTCACCAAACCTCCTCTGCCTGTACTAACATTTGGTTACAGTAGGAATCACTAGGATATTTTTACCTGGGGCCATGACAGTTAAACGCTAGGGATTGGGGTTTGTTGATGTTTCCCTGGGGGGATTGGAGGGTAGGGGAAATGCATGTTGTAAATTTGTTGAAGACTCCTGAGATAACAGGCCAGAAGTAAGGGATGATGGAAGCACTCATATTTATCTAACTTCTTAAAGGTTATCAAGTATCTACCCCTCAACAACCTGGGGAAGTAGGTGGTATAAGTATTTATTTTATTTTAATTTAAATTTTTAAAATTTTAGGCAATTAGGGTTAAGTGACTTGTCTAAGGTCACACAGCTAATGTCAAGTGTTTGGTCTGAGGCCAGATTTGAACTCAGGCCCTCCTGATTTCAGGGCTGTTGCTCTATCCGCTGCGCCACCTAGCTGCCCCTGATATAAGTATTAATAGCCTCACTTTAGAGATAAGAACACTGAGGCCCAGAGAAAGGAAATGATTGTCCAGTGTCACATTAAATGTCAGGCTTTGATCCTACATAAGCCGTTACTGGGCGGGTAGGTAGGTGGTGCAGTAGATAGAGTGCTGGGCCTGGAATTGGGAAGACTCATCTTTCTGTGTTCAAATCTGTTCTCAGACATTGACTAGTTGTGTGATCCTGGGGAAAGAAATGGCAAACCACTCCAGTATCTTTGCCAAGAAAACCCCAAATGGGGTAATGAAGAGTCAGACACGACTGAGTGAGGAATCTTCATTCACTGATACAAGTTAGTGACTTTTCTCCAACTTCTAGCCTTAGAACATTGCCTAAACTAGAGCACTGAAAAGTTAAGTGACTTGTTCAGGGTCACACAGTCAAGATATGTCACAGGCAAGACTGGAACCTCACTTTTCTAGGGCAGCTCTAGCCACTATTCCATTTTGCTTTTCTCAAAACTATGTTGTTCAGTTGGGTCTAACTCTTCGTGATCCCATTTAGCGTTTTCTTGGCAAAGATACTGGAGTTGTTTGCCATTTCTTTCTACAGCTCATTTTACTGATTGGGAAGCTGAGGCAAACAGGGCTAAGTGACTTGCCCAGGGTCGCAAGTGTCTGAGGCCAGATATGAACTCAGGAAGATGAGTCTTCCTGACTCCAGTCCCAGCACTCTAGCGCCACCTAGCTGCCCATTCTTAAATCAAATACATTCAAAAAGAGGCTACCCTAGAGGGAAAAGGAAGGGAATTGTTCATTCATTTGCCAAGCAAAGTTAATGTTCTCATCCTTTGATGTTCTCTCTTTAAAGTATAAGAAAAACAATTCTTGGAGCATCCTTCCTGGAAGCAAAGTTTAAGCCTATAACCATGGCTCAGTTAGCTCTATTATATATTAAAATATATATATGTATATGCGTGTATACATACACAGAATCAGTTCTGCTATAACATGTATTTCAAAAACACATATTCGTTCAATGAAACCAATACATTAGGGGACATTTTGAGCATAACTCAAGTTTCAAGTTTGCTTCTGCTCGATTTCTTCTTTGAGAAGCAGTAAGAAAACATAGACAATAGTACCACATTCACAATAACTTATAAGCTACAACCTTTGTGACACCCACTTCCACAAGCAAAATTCAGGTCTTTGTCAGGGTAAAGTGTGGTATTTACTGTATGTCTTCTGGTGTAGTAGGAGATATGTGGGCAAAGGAGGGCTGAGCTTCCTCTTCCTTCTCCCTCACCCTTCTGCCATGGCCTTGTGCAGCCCAGGGCACAGGCCTCGCTGCAGACTCAGTCACAATTCATTGTGATATTTATGTATTTCTTAACCATTTAACATATAAAAAACTATGTTGCCATTTTTATTAGGTTTCTGTCTTTTTCATATATTATTGTTGAAGTTTTTGAAGGTTGTTCCGCTAACCCCATTTCCCCCACAAACTTTGTGGTTTGGTTTCTTTTTGGTGGAATTTTTTAATGGTGTTTTTTGGGAACACATATATGTCCCATTATAGCAGAACTGCTTGGATAGATAGAGTGGGAGGGAGGGAGGTGAAGGGGAGAGAAAGATTTAAATTACCGATTTAAGGTCCCTCATTGAAGAATTATCAATGAATGATACAGATGAAAAGTCAAGAATGAGGCTGTGGAGGTTGACTTTGGGAACTTCGATGTTGAGAGGAAGGTCTGAGTTCCAGTCTATCGCAAAGGGTAGATCTGTAGTCTGGATAGGCTGATCCAATTCTTCTATGTGATTGTTATCTAGCTCATCATCAGAGTCTTGGACGCCATCAGCAGTATATATAAATCCTTTCTGCAGGGTGGAAAGGCAAAATAAATATACCATACATACATACATCTACTCTATGCGTTTTCCTTATCTAGAAGCAAGAAAAAAGATTAGTTAAGTTAATGGTAGTCTGTTGATCAGCAAGCCCATATTATTAAGTGCCAAGTGCTGGGCTAGGAACTGGGCAATACAAAGACAAAAATGAAACAGTTCTTGCCTTCAAGAAGCTTATGGTCTTGAGGAAGGAGACAACACACACACACACACACACACACACACACACACACACACACACACCCCGGGTATTGACAAATTATATGCAAAATAGAAGCAAGATAATTTGGGGGAGACAAGAGGAGCAACTGGGAGGAACTGAGAAAAGTTGCATGTAGGCAGTGATGCTCAGGCTGAGCTTTGAAGAAAGGTAGGGATTATAAGAGGATGAGGTGAGGAAGGAGGGCATCCCAGGAATGGGAGACAGCCAGTATAAAGGCTTGGAGACAGAAGACAGGGAATTGTATTTAAGTAACAGTAAAAAGGCTAGTGTGCATGTACAATAGTGTATATGATAGGGAGTCCTGCGTAGTAAGTCTGAAAAGGTTGTGTATGTTCAAGTTATGAAGAGCTTTAAATACCGAGCAGTTTATATGTGATAAGAGAAGTAACAGGGAGCCACTGGAGTTTATTGAGTAGGGGAGTGGGTTTAGCAAAATCATGTGGACAGCTGTGTGGTTTTGAGAGGAGAAAGACCTAAGGTAGAGGGGAGACCAAATAGAAGCGATTGCAATAGTACAGGTAAGAGGTTACAGGGTTCTGAGTTAGGTTGGCAATAAAATCTGAGTGCTTATTTGAAAATGATAACCTGCAACACAGTTTTAAATTAATTTTGCATTATTATTTAATTTATTAAATTATTAACTATTAATTATTACTACTGTTAATTAAGTATTAACTAAATAATTGCAGCTATTCTGCAATGGATATTTGAGGAGAAAGAAAGGAACATGTGTGCTGGTCTTGAAATTAGGAAGTTTTCTGGTTGTTGTTCAGTTGTGTCTGACTCTCTGTGACCCCATTTTGGGGTTTTCTTGGCAAAGATACTGGAGTGGTTTGCCATTTTCTTCCCCAGCTCATTTTACAGATGAGGAAACTGAGGCAAACAGGGTAAAGTGACTTGCCCAGGGTCACACAGCTAGTAGAGTTTGAGGCTGGATTTAAACTCATGAAGATGGGTCTTCCTGATTTCTAACCCAGTGTTGTACCCACTGTGCCACCTAGCTGCTGAAATTAGGAAGACGGAAGTTCAAATCTTGCCTTTGGTATCAACTTGGGAACAGGCAGATTAATGGGGCTAAAATTTGGAAACATATCTATTAACGATTTCAGTTAAAATATACAGCTCTATATATCACATATAATATGACTGAGACACTTACTGGTGTTATTTGTAATTGTCCATTCTTCTCCAGCTTTCGGATTTTCTTCAGGGCTTTGTTGCGCTTTCGCAAAATTCTAGCTGGCTTAAAACCAACCTGAAAAATATATCACTGGATTACATACCTGCCAACATACGTTGTGCTCCTCATGTAGTTCATTTCTAAATACTTTGATTTCAGTTGGATTGAATGATAAGGACAAGTAATGAAGAGAGCTTCCCCCCTCCAAAATTTTTTTTTAAATGGTTCTTAAGAAGACTAGAGGTACTCTCCTGGGACACAGCAAGAGTCTATCCAGCTTGGTATTCTAGTTCTAACAATAACCTGAACTTCCCTTTAGTAATCTGTATTGATCCATCCAATCCTCTCTTGCACCTATTCATAGTGATAGTCTGGGGAATGATCAAAGTGCTGATTTCCATATATTTACCTTCCTCATCTGTAAAATGAGGGAGTTGGACAAGATAATTTCTAAGATTCCTTCTAGCTTTAAATCCTACAATCCTACTTAAATTAAATACTACTTTCATTCATTGATCCTAAAGAGATCTCCTTCAAACTTCAAAGGGTGTTGCTTAGCCCTGGTAATTTTAAATCCATCACCTGAAGGTAGGTCACCAGGTGGTAAATCATTTTGGACATAGCAATTCACTGAGTTATCTACTAAGATAGGAAGGGATTGGGGCCTTCATGGGGGGGGCGGGGCATTGGGGAGGGGAATAAATCACTTATCAGTGAAATATTGAATAATTGGCTTTTATTATTCTAGGTTTCTCATTATATGATTATATATAATGCATGTGTATACATGTATGTATGTACATACATACCATATATATATGTATATATTTTTTTTAACAAACTATAGCCTCACCTATATTGACAAAACCATTGTATACAGGTAACTTCTCAGTGTTATAGTCATAAACATCTGTCTTCATTGACCCTTTGCTTTTCCTTTTCCCTTTCCCTCAATACTTAAATGATCCTTACTACTGTTGCTCCAACTCCCTCAGGGGAAGGGCCAATGGGAATGCTCCCCTGGGGTATGTTGGTACACCTGACTGATGGTCTATGGCTATAGTCCTTAGTTTTAGATGGAATCTAAGAAAGTTCTTCATAGAATGTTAAGAAGGGACCTTAAAGTTCATTATGGAGGGAACATGGTACAATGGAAAGAGCACTGGCTTTGAAATGAGAGGACTTGGGTTTAAATTCCACCTCTGATACAATAGGTAATGAGTGTTGTTCAGTCATTTCAATCGTGTCTGACTCTTCATGACCCCATTTGGGGTTTTGTTGGTAAAGATACTGGAGTCATTTGCCATTTCTTTCTCCAGCTCATTTTACAAATGAGGAAACTGAGGCAAACAGGATTGAGTGACTTACCCAGGGTAGGACACATTTGAACTCAGGTCTTCCTAACTCCAGCCCCAGCACTCTATCCACTGCACACCTAGCTGGCCAGGTAAATGATTAGTGTGAATTATAATCCCCTGAAGAAGTCACATTATCTGAATTTGCACTGCTTTATTTCTATTGGGTGGAACTAATGACCATATTTTACATAATTATAACTTCAAAGAGTGTAATATTCTAATTTACACGTGTGACCACTTTAGGGTTTTGAACTAATTGGGATCTGGCTATTTTACCTGTTGGACTTTGGGTAAATCTCTTACCATGTTTAGACCTCAGTTTCTTTAGTTGTAGAATGGTAAGCTTCTTGATGTTTCTGAGGTCCCTTCTAGTACGGGATAGGAGATCAAGTCCAGTCTTTTTTTTTTTCTTCCACAAATGGGAAAAGTGGGCCCAGAGAGATTGAAGCACAGTGTAGTAATAGAAAGTCCTTTGACTTTGGGGTCAGAGGATCTAGTCTGAATCTCTATTCTTTTACTTCTAACATCGGAAACATTGGGCAAGTTTCTTAATCTGTCTGAGCCTCCGGTTCCTTACTTGTAAAATGAGGAGTTTGGACTCTCAGAGATCTAGAATTGAAAGAGAGCTTCCAGCTCTCAATTCTTTATGATTTGCCCAGAGTCACATAGCAAATAAACAACAAAGCAGGATCTCCTCGATTTTATAAGACTTAGACCTAGATGAATCCTTTGAGAACATCTAGTACAATCCTTTTGTTTTATAGATGAAGAAACTGGGGCCCAGAGAAGAGAAATAACTTGACCAAGATCATACAGGATCATGCAGGTAATACGTAGCTGAATCAGGATTCAAACCCAGAGCTTCTGTTCTTTCCCCTATGCTACCCTACTTCCTGAAACCACGTCTTTTGCTGACAAATTCTGTATTTTTTTTCCGTTACCCAGCACTACCTCTCATAATGTATTTAGTATTATAAGTCGTCAAACTGGACATGTGTGTGAGGAACAACTAACAAAGATTCTATCACAGTCTTCTCTGGTGCACATAGTGCCAAAACTCTAAGTGCTGGGGCAGCTAGGTGGTGCAGTGGATAGAGCACCAGCCCTGGAGTCAGGAGAACCTGAGTTCAAATCCTGTCTCAGACCAGACATTTGACACTTACTAGCTGTGTGACCCTGGGCAAGTCACTTAACCCCAATTGCCTTGCTCCAAAAAACCAAACAAAAAAACCTCTGAGTTCCTCTATTGAGTGGGACTCACTAGGAAAAGCCCCATCTGTCCTATAGTTGAAGCTTATAGTATGTATACTTTGCACCTCTTGAGAAAGCATAATATAATGGAAAAGTCAACATTTAACAAGTATTTATTTACTTCCAGAGGAGTTGCAAACAGAATTTCAAGACTAGAAAAGGCATTAGGAACTCAGTTATGTTCTTCATTTTTTTTTTGTTTTGTTTGTTCAGTTGTTTTTCAGCTACTTCCAACTCTTCATAATTCCATTTGGAGTTCTAGAATTCACAGACAAACCAACAAATCATCATAAAAATAACTGCCTTCTAGGAATGTCTAAGGCCTTGGAACAAGGCTTGTTAAAAGCTAGATACTAGTTTGGCAAAGATACTAGAGTGGTTTGCCATTTCCTTCTTCAGATCATTTTACAGATGAGGAAACTGATGAAGTGACTTGCCCAGGGTCACACAGCTAAGAAGTGCCTGGCACCAGATTAGAACTCAGCAAGATGAGTCTTTTTGACTTCAGGCCCAGGACTCTATTCACTATGGCACCTAGCTGCCCACTGGTGTTCATCTGTGAGTATTAAAACAAAATGGTGGTGGTGATTCCTAGAGTTAACACTGTGCTTCTTTTCACTTCTCCAGTTTGAGCCCCACCTGCCCTATCTTCAGTCCCCTACCTATCACATGACAGTCACTTAATATATATTGTCATTATGACCAGTAGCAGAGATATATTCAAATCTCAAATACTCCTTCATTGTTTCTGGATTGCTTACTTGTTCCTTACCCTGGGTTCCATAAGGAATTGGCTAGGGAGATAGCAACAAAATCCAGAATGACAAATCACACTATAACACCATTTGCTATAGAACAGAACTCAGCATAAGATGGTTCCATCATGAACCCCATCCCGGGGACTTTTTTCCCTGAAGAACCGAAAAGACCTTTTTATTAGGTATTCTTGCCTATGACGCAGTCTCACAACATGGACCCTGAGGACAGTGATGTAACAAAGCTACCAAGCTCTGTGCTTTGTATTAGAGTCTACCATCTGTTTTGTTAAGAAGCAGAATAATTTTTTTCCTGGAATTTAGAAGAATAATAGTAAATATACATAAGTATGTTTTTAAAACATCAAAACTTACAGCATCAATAAGTTTTTTCTTGAAGAAACTAATATTTGCAAAATAGATAGGAGATGGACATTTGAAAATCTTCACTCCCTGTGGCTCATAAACCTATGTGAGAGAAACACAGTTATTTTCTGAATATAATTTGTAGGGAATTAAGCACAAGTCAACATCAAAAATACATCAAGCGAAACAGAAAAGTTCTTACCTCAGGGTAATCTTTTCTGTTCTTATAGATGTTACTTCCTCCAACGTTGGCCAATATACTACATTTTGGGCTATAAAGGAATGAGCATAAAATGAATAATATGACATATTAGAACTAAGTCTGTGATGTAAAAATTGACATCTTTTTATGCCTTATTATAAATGACCCTTGAAGACAGGAAATGTCTTTCTTCTCTTTCTACTTCTTTAGAGAGGTAACGTAGTGTAGTAGAAAGAGTGGTATGGTCAGGGGAAACCAGGGCTCAGATCCTGACTCTGACACTTTCTAATTGGTAAATCATTTAAATTCTCTAAGCCTCAGTTTCCTCAACTATAAGACAGAGATAATGATACCTCTTGCACCTATCTCACAGGGTTGTTCTGAGGATCAAGTGAGGCAAAATGTTAGCTCTATGTAAAAATCAATTATTACTGTTATTTTGAGTTTTGTCATGCTTAACACAGTATTTTTTCTTAGTTGTAAAATGAGGTTGATAAGCATTGTGGTGCAGTGGAAGAACCACAAGATTTGGTGGTCAGAAGACCTGGCTTCAGATCTCATCTCTTTTATTTACTAACTTTGAGACCTTCAGAATGTAACTCTCTGGACCTCAATTTCCTCTCATGTAAAATGAGTAGGCTGGACCAGAGGACCTCTAAGGTTCTACTTTTATTCAGAGGTCTAGATATACTCGGACCAATTCCCAAGGTTGTTGTGAGAAAGTTATTGTTTAGTTTTATCAGGTCGTGTCTGACTCTTCATACCCAACTGAAGTTTTGTTGGCAAAGATACTAGAGTGATTTGCCACTTCCTCCTCCAGCTCATTTTATGGATGAGAAAACTGAGGCAAATAGAGTTAAGTGACTTGCTTAGGGTCTCACAACTAGTAAGTGAGGCCAAATTTGAACTCATGAAGATTAGTCTTCCTTATTTCAGGCCCAGTACTCTATCCATTGCTCCACCTAGCTGTCCCTGTGAGGAAGGTGCTTGGCAAATATTGAGGCCTTATATCAATCAATCAATCAATCAATCAGGAAGCATTTATTAAGCACCTACTATGGTGCCAGGGACTGTGCTAGGTGCTGAGAACATAAAAACAAAAATAGAATAGTCCTTGTCCTCGAGGGGCTCATATTCAGTCAGAAGTCTTCTATCTATAAATGTAAGCTATTATTCCAATGGTTACCTTGCAAATAAGAAGCATTCAATAAATATTTATTAAAGAAATTTTAGGCATGTGAATATTTAAATACAGATAGGTGCATTTATTATTGATATGTTCTTTTGTAACTTTAAAGATAGTGATAGCATACTCTGTAATAGAGCTACTTAGTTCCTAAATAATAAGTGGTTTCTATAGACTATTAGGGCTGGAAAGAAAGAAGACTTTGAGAAGTCTTCTAATTCAACCACCTGGTTGTATGCAAGAATGATTTGAATCCCAAGGAGAAGAATAGTTTTCTTTGTTAAAATCTCAGCAATAATGAGAGTCATAACCTCACTCAGTAACTTATTCTAGTTTTTAACAAGGCTCATTCCAAGGCCTTAGACATTCCTAGAAGGCAGTTATCTTTGTGATGATTTGTTGGCATGTCTGTGAATTCATCCAAGGAAGGAGCTCCTGGTGAGGAAAATAGCCACCACTCTAAAGTGTATAGTCTTAGCAAAGGGTACTCAGAGGTTAAATAATTGCCCAGGGTCACACAGTCAGTAGGTTTTAACAGAATTTGAACCCCAGGTCTTTCTGACTCTAAGGTTCACTATCTATCCAGTTCTCCTCATGTCTCCAATCAATCTCTATTTTACAGGTGGGCAAACCAGAGCTTGGAGGTTTTATGTAATATCTTTGAAATAGTGGCAAAGGTCTGAGTAGAAATGGAGCAGGGAGGCTAGTGCTACAAAGATCGTCTCTAGATAACCTGAGGGAAAATGTAATGGCCCATCTTATTTTTACAGATATTTCTGTCAATTAAACTCTACCTTCTTCCTCCATGAAAAAAAAATGACAAATTAATCTCTTCTGATTTAGGCTAGTCAAAGCCTGAAAGAGTTCATGATCAGCATGCCCAGTATCTACTCACAATTGAGTCCGGAACACAATAGTGAGGAGCTGGAATGCAACAGCAGCTGCTAGTCCCCAACCAAGGCCCAGGACAACAGCAGCCAGGAAAGTGAAAATCCAGATTGCCTGGCAAAAGAAAACAACATACAAATCATACATTAAAAGAGTGATAAATCTCCATCAGTCAGTGTTAGGAATGAGGACAAATGCAATTATTTCTCATTTTGTCAAGCTCAACAAATACTAAACCATATGCTAAGATGCACTGTTTTTGTGCTACTTGTCCTAATAGGGAGAAAGAATGTTTGCATAAAATGCTCAATAAAGAAGAATTTTAACTATATAGCTACAGGTAGTACAGCTTCTATTTATAAGATTTTGAACAAATTACTTCTGTAATCACAGAAAAACTTGAAAAATCTGAGTAAAAGAGATCCTAGTGCTCATCTGGTCCAACTCCCTCCACCCCAAAGCTATAATTATGATGGGGCAACTGGGGTATTCTCCAAGGATGCTGAAATTTAGAGGCCATTGTCAATGCTTGAAGTAATTAAAATAGGAATTTATCAGATGGCACAGATACTTCCTTTCCCTGTTAGCACTTTGAGTAAGTTCTTCCCTGGCCAGTCTCTGCTCCCTTCTGGGTAGTGACCTTCCAAGCTACAGCCTCATAATTTATGGGAATCTCTGTCTATGGAGCTCCTCCCCATTAACACATTTGAAGGTGTGCTTTGTACTGCTGGCCTTTGGGGCAAAAATTGCTATTTCAGTACTGAGTGTGGAGCAAGATGATGGAGTAGAGAAAGCACTCAGCTGAGCAGTTCTAACATTCCCTTCCAAACAACTTTAAAATAACTCCTCAAATCAAATTCTGGAGTGGCAGAGCCAACCAAAGTAAGACATTCTTCCAGCCCAAGATAACTTAGGAGATCAGAGACATCTGTGACATGGGGTCAGAGGCTGGCCTGGAGCCCACCTGAGTAAAACACCAGTGGTGGGACTGAGGGTGGTGACCGAAGTAGCAGCTACTTCAGGAGCTCTCAAACCAGAGACAGTAAGAGGACCTGGCAACTGGTTAGAAAGAGATTACAGAGGACCCCTGTACTAGCACTAGACACAAGACCAGAAGTTATTTTGGTAAATTCATTGCCTATATCCACTTCTAGGTCATAGTTCAAGGGTGGAGAGGAGCACTTTTGGTCAAAAGGGAGCAGGGGTCCTGAGGACCAGTATCAAGGACTCAGAGGAACAGGATCATTTTTGGTCGCAAGGGAACCAGTGTCCAATGGAGCAGTATTAATTATAATCCCAAGAGATGAGGGGCCCTTCCTTAGTAAGGAACAGAATGCAAAGCAGGAGAACAGTGACCACACCTCTCCTCAGATCACACTATTTTGGAAGCACTGAAAACCTCCAAGCCCCCAGAATAAGCAATGAAAACAACAGTGTGGAAAAAGCCTGAAGCTTGAGACCGTTTGCCTCCACCACCACCACCACCACCCCTTCCCTGGGAACAGAACCCAACTTTAACATAAAGTTCTAAATCAAGAAATAGGGTGGAAAAGCAAGCAAGCAATCAACAACAATAACAAACAACTGGAACATAAAAAGCTGCTGGGATGACAAGACAAAATCAGAAGACAATGATGTCACAAAAGCTACAAGCAAAACTTCAAGGAACAATCCAAATTGGACACAAACTCAATAAGAATTCCTGGAAGAGCTAAAAAATGATTTTCAAAATCAAATAATAGTGGTAGAGAAATAATTAGGTAAAGAAATTATAAAATTATGAAAAGACAATTAACAGCTTGGTAAAAGAGGCACAAAAAATAATGAAGAAAATAACACCTTAAAAAACAGAATTGGCCAAATGCAAAAGAGGTACAAAAGCTCACTGAAGATAATAATTCCTTAAAAAAAATGGGCAACTGGAAGCTAATGACTCCATGAGACAACAAGAAAAAAACAACAAAAAAAAGTAAAAATAATGAAAAAAATAGGAGAAAATGTGAAATATCTCATTGGAAACATAACTAACCTGGGAAATAGATAAAGGAAAGATACTTTAAGAATTATTAGTCCTACCTAAATGCCATGATCAAAGAAAGAGTCTAGACATCACATTTCAAGAAATTATTAAAGAAAACTGCCTTAGAACCAGAGGGTAAAATAGAAATATAAAGAATCCAAAGATCACCACCTGAAAGAGTTCCCAAATGAAAACTCCTGAGAATATTGTAGCCAAATTCCAGAGCTCCCAAGTCAAAAAGAAAATACTTCAAGCAGCCATAACAAAACCATTCAAATACCCTGGAGTCACGGTCAGGATCACACATGCTTTAGCAGCTACCACTTTAAAGCAGCAGAGGGCTTAGAAGATGACATTCCAGAAGGCAAAAGAGCTGGGATTACAACTGAAAATAATCTACCCAGCAAAACTGAGTATAATCCTTCAAGGAAAAAATGGATTTTTAAGACTTTCAAGCATTCCTGATGAAAAGACCAGAGATGAATAGTTTGGCTTTCAAATACAAGGCTTAAGAGAAGCATAAACAAGAAAAATAAATCATAAAGGATTCAATAAGGTTAAACTGTTTACATTCCTATATGGGAAGATGATTTATATAACTCCCAAATTATTAGGGCCTCTAGAAAGATTCTACTTAGAAAGAGGGCATGTGAGTGAGGCAAGTATGTTGAGATGATGTTAAAAAAAACTGGAAAGGGGAGAAAGACAGATGCCCCAGAAGAAGAGGGAAGGGAGATGAAGAATGGTGAAAATTATTTCACATAAAAGAGGCATGCAAGGAAGACCTTTTACATTGTTGGTGGGGTCAATGCTTGAAACTCACGCCTAAATTAGTTCAAAAAGGGAAACACACACACATATACATACACACTCAATTGGTAATAGAAATCTACATTACCTAACAAGGAAGTAGGAGGGGAAGTGGATAAGAGAAAGGGGGGAGGGGCTATGATAAAAGGAAGGTGGATAAAAGAAGGCAGAACAGAAGTCAGAAGCAAAACAGACTTTAGAGTAGGAACAAGATAAGGAGAGGATAAACAGAAGAAAATAGAATGGAGAGAAATGAAGAGTTAGCCATTGTAATTGTGAATGTGAACTCACCCATTAAATGGAAGTAGATAGCAGAATGGATTAGAAATCAGAATCTAATAATATATTGTTTACAAGAGCCACACTTGAAACACAGAGTTAAAATAAGGGGCTGGAGCAGAATCTATTATGCTTAAGCTGATGTAAAAAAGACAGAGGTAGCAATCATGATCTCAGACAAAGTAAGAGCAAAAAACACCTAATAAAAAGGATAAGCAGAGAAACTATATCTTGCTAAAAGGAACCACAGACATGAAGTAATATCAGTATGAAACATAAATGGCATTAACATCCAAATTCTTAAGGGAAAAGTTAAATTAATTACCAGAGAAAATAAGACAGTTAAAACTGTTTTATTCAACTTTCTTCACAGAAAACTAGATAAATCTAATTATAAAATAAGTAAGAAAGAAGTTAAGGAGGTAAACTGAATCTTAGAAAAGTTTGTGGAAAAAACTTAATGTTTTAAATGTTGTAAATCCTGTAAATGGCACCTTCACAAAAACTGACCATGTATTAGGGCATAAAAACTTTACAACCAAATTTTTAAAAGCAGATATATTAAATGTACCCTTTTCAGACCATAATGCAATAAAAATTACATTCAGTAAAGTGCTGTGGAAACATAGATTAAAAATGAAGTGGAAACTAAGTACTTTAATCCTAAAGAATGAGTTGATCAAAGAACAAATCATAGAAACAATCAATTATTTCATTAAAGAGAATAACAATGAGATACCAGTCCAAAATTTGTGGGATGCAGCTAAAGCACTACTTAGGGGAAAATTTATGTTTCTGATTGCATCCATCAGTAAAAGAGAGAAAGAATAAATCAATGAGTTGAACTCAGGTCCTCTTGACTCTAGGGCCAGTGCTCTATCCACTGCGTCACCTAGCTACCCTAGATTATTCTTATTTTTATAAATTTGTCTCAGTTCCCTATACATTTGAGAAAGTAGGCATTCATCAGAGAAACCTGCTCTAAAATTTCCCCCCAGTTTCCTATTTTCCTTCTAATTTTGGCTGTATTGGTTTTGTTTGTGCAAAAGCTCTTCAATGTCATGTAATCAAAATTATATATTTTGCTTCCCATGATACTCACTGTCTCTTAAATCCCCAATTAATACCAAAATGGAAATCCTAAAAATCCATAAAATTGAAAGTAACCCCCCTAATAAATAAAAAACCTAATAAATAAAGCTAGAAGCTGGAGTAATGGGAAAAGAATAAAGTAGATAAACCACTGATTAATTTGATTTAAAAAAAGAAAGAAGAAAACAAATTACTAGTATCAAAAATGAAAAAGGTAAATCAAGATGAAATTAAAGCATTTATGAGGAGTTACTTTGACCATTTATATACCAGTAAAACTAATAATTTAAGTGAAATGGATAAATATTTGCAAAAATATAAACTGCCCAGCTTAACAGAAGAGGAAATAGAATATTTAAATAATCCTATGTTAGAAAAAGAAATTGGACAAACCATAAATAAGTTCTCTACAAAACAAAATTCCCAGGATCAGATAGATTTACAAGTGAATTCTACCAAACATTTAAGGAACAATGAATTCCAAACCTATATAAACTATTTGAAAAGTTAGATAAAGAAAAGTCCTACCAAATTACTTTTATGACACAAATATTATATTATAATATCTAAACCAGGGAAAGCAAAAATAGAGAAAGAAAACTGTAGGCCAATTTGCTTAATGAATATTGATGCAAAAATTTTACTAGTAAGGAGACTAGTATATATCACAAAGATTGTACATGACCAGGGATTTATACCAGGAATGTAGAACTGGTTCAATATTAGGAAAACTATCAGCATAACTGACCATATCAATAACAAAAACAACAAAATCACATGATTATAATGATAGATGCAGAAGAAGCCATTGACAATAATACAACACTCATTTCTATCAAAAACACTAGAAAGCATAGGAATAGGTAGAATCTTTTTAAAAATAAGTAGTCACTAGAAACTATCAGCAACTATTATCTGTAATGAGAATAAACTTGAAGTCTTCCCAATAAGATCAGGGGTGATGTCCTTTATCACCACTATTTTTCAATATTGTACGAGAAATACTAGCTATAGCAGTAAGACAAGAAAAATAATTTTATTTATGTATGTATGTATTTATTTATTTATTTATTCATTTATTCACTCATTTATTTATTTATTTGTTTGTTTATTTAGGCTATTGGGGTTAAGTGACTTGACCAGAGTCACACAGCTAGTACACTGTCAAATGTTTGGTCTGAGGCCACATTTGAACTCAGGTACTCCTGACTTCAGGGCCGGTACTCTATCCACTGCGCCACCTAGCTGCCCCCAAGAAAAATAAATTTAAAGAATAAAAATAGGCAGTAAGGAAGCAAAACTATCACTCTTTGTAGATGATATGATGGTATACTTAGGGAACCCTAGAAAATCAACTGAAAGCCTAGTTGAAACAATGAACAACTTTAGCAAAGTTGCAGGATATAAAACAAATTCATATAAATCACCAACACCTCTATATATTATCAACAAAACCCAACAGGAAGAGATAGAGAAATTTCATTTAAAATAACTGCAGATAATATAAAATACTTTGGAGTCTACCTCCCAAGACAAACCCACGGGCCATATGAATATAATAACAAAACATTTTTCACACAAATAAAGACAGATCTAAACAATTAGGGAAATATTTATTGTTCATAGGTAGGCCAAGCCAATATGATAAAAATGATAATTCTACTTAAGTTAATTTACTTACTCAGTGCCATACCAAACTATGAAAAATTATTTCATAGAGCTAGAAAAAATAGTAACAAAATTCTTCTGGAAGAACAAAAGGTCAAGAATATCAAGGAAATCAGTGGGAAAAAAAAGTGTGAAGGCAGGCAGCCTAGCATTGCCAGATTTCAAACTCTGTTACCAAGCAGTAATCATCAGAAGAGTCTAGTACTGGCCAAGAAACAGAGTGATGGAATAATGAAATAGATTAGGTTCATAATATAATAGTAGTAAATAACCATAGTAATTACCATAGTAAAAAAAAAAAAGTAAATCTAGGTTTGATAAACCCAAGAATTGGGATATTCACCATTTCACAAAAATTGCTAGGAAAACTGGAAAGCAGTTTGGCAGAAACTAGACATAGACCATCATGTCACACCATATACCAAGATTACATCAAAATGGATAAATGATTTAGACACAAAGGGTGATAACAATACTAACTTATAATAGTATATAAACAACTATATAAATTCCATATCTTGTAATGATAATCATATTAATATATAATATTCATAATTATGATAATAAATGATTTAGACATAAATAATTTAGAGGAGTATGAAAATACCTGTCATGTTTATGGATAAGGGAAGAGTTTATGACCAAACAAGAGACAGTGAGTATCATGGGAAGCAAAATATATAATTTTGATTACATGACATTGAAGAGCTTTTGCACAAACAAAACCAATACAGCCAAAATTAGAAGGAAAATAGGAAACTGGGGGGAAATTTTAGAGCAGGTTTCTCTGATGAATGCCTACTTTCTCAAATGTATAGGGAACTGAGACAAATTTATAAAAATAAGAATAATCTAGGGTAGCTAGGTGACGCAGTGGATAGAGCACTGGCCCTAGAGTCAAGAGGACCTGAGTTCAAATCTGGCCTCAGACACTTGACACTTACTAACTGTGTGACCGGCAAGTCACTTAATCTCATTGCCTAGCCCCTCCACCCCCAAAATAAGAACCATCTGTCAACTGATAAATGGTCAAAGGATATGAACAGGCAGTTTTCAGAAGAAGACATCAAATCTGTTAATAGTCACAAAAATGTTCTAAATCACTGATTAGAGAAATACAAATTAAGACAATTCTGAGATACCACCTCATGCCTATCAGATTGGCTAACATGCCAGAAAAGTAAAATGACAAATACTATAGGGGAGGTGGAAAAATAGGTACACTGATGCAGTGTGGTGGAGTTGTAAGCTAGTCCAACCATTCTGGAGAACAATTTGGAACTATGCCCAATGGGCTGTAAAACTGTGCATACCCTTTGACCCTGCAATACCACTACTAGATCTGTATCTTAAAGAGATCAAAGAAAAGAAAAAAGGACCTATTTGTACAAAAATATTTAAGGTAGCTCTTTTTATGGTGGCACAGAATGGGAAATGCAGGGGATGCCCTTCAATTGGGAAATGGCTGAACAAGTTGTGGTATGTGAATGTAATGGAATACCATTGTGCTGTAAGAAATGATGAACAGGATGCCTTTAGAAAATCCTGGAAAGACTTACATGAACTGATGCAAAGTGAAATAAGCAGAACCAGAACATTGTATATAATAACAGTACTATTGTATGATGATCAACTGTGAATGACTTAGCTACTCTGATCAAGACAATGATCTAAGACAGTTCCAAAGTTTCCATGATGAAAAATGCTATCCATTTCCAGAGAGAGGACTGATCAATTCTGAATTCAGATCAAAGCATAATTTTTTTACATTCATTATTTTTCTCCTTTTTTGGGTGTGTGTTTATTTTTGCAGTGTGGCTAATATGGAAATATGTTTTTCATAACTTCACATGTATATTTGATATCAAATTGCTTGCCTTCCCAAGGAGGGAGAGGGAGAGAAATTGGAACTCAAAATTTTAAAAAACGAATGCTAAATTTTTTTTTACATGTAATTAGGAAATGTTTAATGAAATAAATATTATATTTAAAAATTGCTATTTCAAGCTCTGCAACCCTTGTCTGATATATAAATCCTATGTGAAACACACATGGCAAGTATTCAAACAGTCTCTGAAACTCATTACTTCATAAAATAACCCATTCCACTTTTTTTTAGACAACTCTAATTGCTACAAAGTTTTGTCTTACATTGATCTGAAATCTGACTGTAACTTCCATTCCTTGGTCCTAGTTTTTTGTCCTTCATTCTTGAAGAGGACCAATGACATCAGGAGGGTGATGTCTTCACTTGCAAGTAAATTGGGTTTAAGTGAGGCAGGGCTGTGCAAAATTATCAGCCTCACTCTTTCCTCTAGGGTCATCTAAGTCCAGTGGCAAGACATACGTCAGGAAGACTGGAAATGACCCCCAGATGCAGTGGGAGACCTTGCCCTTTGTAAGCTAAGGTCTTTCCCAGGTCTCAGTTTGTCTGAAGCAACACCCATTCAGTGATTTAGGGCTAGGTAAGAAATGAGGCAAAAGACAGCCTAGTTTGACTACTCAAAAAAAAAAAAATTAAACTGGAAGGGGAAGACCCTCAGGGTTTCTAACCAGAACAGAAACAATTGCTATTTACACTCACTCTGAGCCATCAAAACCCAAACAATGTTGGTCCTAGTATGTGCCTACAAAACTATAACATGTAGAATAATTATAATCCCTCTTCCATACACCAGTCTTTCAAATATTTTTAACTAGTTATGTGTCTAGTGGATAAAAAAAGGGTTTCATGTGACTGATTTCCAGATTGACATATGACCCCTCCTCCATAATTAAATACAAACCTCAGGTACCCAGATGTATGAACGTTTATGACCTAAAGATAGCTAGCAAATTAATGTAACAAACCAAGAATCCCTTTAAATTATAAATCCTGTCCTGTATTTTATATGCACAACATAAAAGACTACCATCATTTAATTTTTTTTTTAAAGTACAAAGTTACTTTCTACTCACACAGTCATACTTGTCCTTTTTCCATAATCTGTGTATTTCTCCAAACTGCATTAGCATCCCTTTTAAATTTCCAAGAGCTAAAGCTGCCAGCACAGACTGGTAAAAAGAAAAACAGGAGATAGAGGTTGCTGAGGCAATAAGTTTTCAAGATGCAAAGGTGAAGGTTAATGATAAGAGAGGGCTTTAAAGGGATGGAGATAGACTGTCACAGAGTAACAGCTTTTCCGATATAAACTGAGTCATAGTAGTCTTGAGACTTTGCCCTTCCCTGTACAGAAGCTTTGTTCTGACTCTAGCAACTCAATCTGTGCCACTCCTAGAGATTCCAGAGAGATTTCAACCGAAGATCTCAGAGCCCCTAATAGCCCTAATAGTCGCTAATAAGCAACGTGGCTCATGACTACGGTACAGAAACCTGATCAAGCAGTCTCTGTTGATGTACTCCTTCATTTAAATTTAAAAATTTTTAGAAAGCTAACTATTCTGTATCAGAGGATTGTTTGAGTAATTTAGCTAGCTCAGATTTTGTTTATTTAGCCTCATAAGTTATTTAGAATAAGAGGAGGTCTTGAAATTATTCTGTATATAGTTTGTCTTCATTTGTCCTGACACATATTCCTTCTTCCAGTACAGTGTTGATTCCTTTAGGTGGGAGAGATCAATCGCATTTTTGTCTTTATCTTCCTTCCTAGGGCTTAGTATTATGCCATTCACAGTGTCTAACATATAGTAGTGGTTAATAAATGATTGTTGGCTCAAATTGAATTTAATTACTTCCCAAGTCAGAGCAGCAAGGTGGCACAGTAGATAGAATGCTGGGCCCAGACTCCTCTTCCTGAATTCAAATCCAGCCTCAGACACTTATTAGCTGTGTGACCCTGAGCAAGACCCTGTTTGCCTCAGTTCCTCATCTGGAAAATGAACTGGAGAAGGAAATGGCAAACTATTCCAGTATCTTTGCCAAAAAAACTGCAAATGGGGTCATGAAGAGTCAGGTGGGACTGAAAAATGACTGAACAATAATACTTCCCAAGTGAAAAAAAAAATTCAAGGCAATTCAATTTTTTTTGGGAAAAACTTATTCCTTGCCTTTGTATAAAACAGTCCCCGGTGTTGTGAGCTGGAAGAGGCAGATCCTTTTGTTTCAGGTGATTAAACATCAAAGAATCGTAAGAATGTTACTTCTGGATGGGAATCTTCCACTTGTTTAGTAGAAGATGGAAGAGGAACTAAATGGATTAAAATAGGTTAGGTTTTATTCAGTTTTCCTAAAGTTAATGTCAACTAGACTGGTTCTTTAGCATTAATTGAGCCTAGTTATGCAGTTTGTAGAAAAAACAATGTAGCTTAATATTTCTTTGTGTGCTTATGGATGTACATGTATATATATATATATATATAGGTATACATCTGTGCTTCTGCCCTTGTGGTGTTTTCCTGTTATTGTTTGTATTTCGCAGGCATTTGATTCTCTTCTCTTCCTTGAGATGTGTGGTAGGTCCAAATATCTCATTCCATCATCTCCCTTGCTCTCATGTTGACCTTTTAGAAATCAATAAGATTCCATAGGCAGAGCATCCTCAGAGTAAAAACTTACACAGCACCCTATTCTAAAACAGATTAATCTATTGGGAGAGTATCCTAAGATCAGATCCACATTTTAGCTGTAGTATAATAAAAGGTGAAAATTTTCCAGTTATAAATCCATCCATATTAGTAGCTTATAAAGTGCTTTACAAATGTTATCTTGTCTTTTCCTCGTAACAACCCCAGAAATTATTTTCCTTCATTTTACAAATGAGGAAACTATTATTTCCCCCATTTTACAGAAGAGGAAACTGACAATGGTTAAATGTCTTGCCCAGAGTCATAGCTAGTAAGTGTCTGAGGCTGGATTTGAACTCAGGTCTTCCTGACTCCAAGTTTAGCACTCCATCCACAGTATCATTTGGCTCCTAGCTGCGTGTGACAAAGCATTGTATTACATGCTCTGTGTAGTAGTATCACAAATACTTAGCAATTTATTTGGATGTCACATAGTATGTTACAGATCAGATATTTTCTATGATCTGCTATTATTTTTTTCCAGTGGAAATTTGTTCCTTGAAATTACTTTCTACTACTTTGTTAGGGCTTAGCGTTCACTTATGTACATTCACATTTTGTTTCCCCAGTAGAACGTAAGCTTCTTTGGAAAGGGAACCATTTTACTTATGTATTTGTATACCTAGCACAGTCCTTTGACAGTAGTAGCCCTTTGATAAATGTTGGTCACATTGAAGTTAGCTGGAGCAGTCTAGGAAACGTTGTTATTGTTGTTGTTGTTGTTGTTATTGTTGTTGAGTTGTTTCAGTTGTATCTGAGTCTTTATGACCCCATTTGGGATTTTGTTGACAAAGACACTGGAGAGGTTTGCCATTTCCTTTTCCAACTGAGACAAACAGGGTTAAGTGATTTGCCCTGGTTCTTGCAGCTAGTAAATGTCTGAGACTGGATTTGAACTCGGGTCTTCCTGACTTCCTGACCTCTTGACACTTCCTTGAGGGCTGTATCCACTGTGACATCTAGCTACCCTGGGAAACATTATAGCCTAAGTGAAATGGGTAGAAGGGCATTCGAATTTCAGATCTAAGATCCCTGTTTGGGCCAGGAGTCAGGATGCTAGCTCCTTTTCCTTGTATCTGCTAGTCTTGGAGGCAAATCAATCCCTGGGGAGCTGGAAGGGAGTGTCTGTGAGAAACAGTTGTGTGGCTGGTAGCACCATCCTCTAACTTCGAGGAACTGATTGCAGTAAGTCCTGGAAGAAGTTCACAGCAACCAATTCTTCATCAAGATCTGGTGCCAAGAGCTGGTCTTCTTGTCTTAACATAACACATTAGATTTGGGCCTCTCTGACATGGTCAGAGGAGACATGATAAAGTAGTTTGGGCATCTGCATTCCTAACATTGGTAAAATGTTGCTGGGAAAAATGAAAACAATTTGGTCAATCCAAATATTGGAATCTGTTGAGACAATAGAACTTTTAGCTACCTCCTTTTCCCTTTTGGTTCTTGTGTTGATGAAGCACTAGGACCCTTAGCTCATGAACAGTAGGAGGGATCTTTTAAGCTCTCAGAGAATGGGGGTGGGGGTGGAGAATTACCTTTTGTAGTGGCTCCAGAAGAAATCCAATTGCCATAATGACAATCAGAACAATAATAGCTGATAGAAGCCCGGCAATCTGGAAAAGTAGAAGATTCTCATCACAAATTCGCTCGGTCTTCTTGTCTGTGATATTGCAGTTGATTAATGTGCAGGTACTTTAGTAGCAAAGATTTTGAAATACCTGTGTTTTGCCTCCTGTGCTCTCCTGAACACCTGATCTGGAGAGTGAAGTGCTTGCTGCAAAACTCTTGAATGATCCACCAACTATGTTGCTCAAGCCAAAGGCAATTAACTCCTGCACCGAAAACAAGGAGGCAGTCTTTTAGAAGAGTGATCATAGCTCTTTTGGCAACAAACAAACAAACAAACAAACAAAAAACAAAACTATTTTTAAAGTGTCTTAACAAGGCATGGTATAAGTTTTAGATTTACCTGATTTCCATTAATGGGATAATCATATTTAGCAGAATATACACTTCCAACAGAAAATGCTAATGTAAATCCAACAATTGCAATGAAGAAGGCATCACCGATGTTATCTCTCCAAACCTTCATAGAGGGTGAAGAAGGTGCCTTAAATCTGAAATGAAGATCAGTGTTAAGATATTTCTTATCTCTTGAGCATGAGTCCATGAAAACCTGGCAAAGCTAAAAGCACTGGAATCTGCTATTTTATTAACATAAAGCACTGCCTGAAATTGATGAAACATGCTAGATGTGGCCCAAAGGCAGGAGATAATCCTGAATACTTTTCAACTGGTATAGACAAAGCAATATGCTCTTAAATTTACATCCTGATAGGCACAATAAAAAAACAAAAACAAAAAAACCCCACCTTTGAGTATGGAACCAGATCTGTGATTTTATGCGCATAGGGTACTTCTACCTGAGGAGACACCTTCTATAAATACAGGTCAATACCCTCTCTTACAGTTTTAGAGTTACCTGGGGCAGTGAAAGGTTAAGTAACTGTCAAGATTCACACAACATGTCTCAGAGGATTTGAACTCAGGGCTCTCTGGTTTTCAAGGTCCCTTCCCTATCTATCATGCCACACTGCTTCTCGCTTTTGAGTCTAAGGTTTGCAAAACAAGGTATACCTATAGTAGAATATATGGCGAGTGAGGGCTACTTAAAAAAACAACAACATACAGCACCATAATTCTGAGAAAAACAAAACAATGAAATTTTGCTTGATCTAGGGGAATCATCCTGTATTTTGTGAGAACAGAAAGCCAAGCAATTAGTTGAGGAAAATGGCTGCTACACAAAATTGTTGTAGATAGCCAAGTGATATAATGGATACAGGCTGGACTTCGAGTCTGGGAGACTCGAGTTCAAATCGTGTCTGAGGTGCTTACTAGCCATACAACCCTGGGCAAAACCTCTCTATGTCTCAGTTTCTCCGTCTGTAAAATGGGGATAACTTACCTCACAGGGTTGTTGTGAGGATCAGATGAGATAGCATTTTGCAGACCACAGAGTGCTATGTAAATGGTTACTATTAATAATTGGGGCAGCTAGGAGGTAGAGTGGATAGAGCGTGGGCTCTGGAGTCAGGAGGACCTGAGTCCATAATAGCTGTAGAACCCTGGGGAAGTCTCTTAACCTTGATTGCCACCCCCACTTCCCACCCTGTTTTCTCTCCCTCCCACCCCCAAAAAGAATAGAGGGAAGGAAGATAGCAAGGAAAAAATCAGAATGGATGCTGAATGTTTTTCCTTCACTTAACTAGCTTACATTTATATATTGCTCAACTAGTTTACAAAGCAGTTTACATGTATTATTTCATATGATCCTCCCCAAAACCCTAGGAGGCAGTCAGTAGATATGTCATTACCAACTACCTTTTAGGTGAGAAAACTCAGCCTCAGAAAGGCAGAGATTTACCCAAATTCATATGACTGGCAAGCAGAAGAGACAGAAAATGAACTCAGATTTTTGCCTCTGGGTTCAAGACTCTTACCGTCATGTCATGTTCCACCTTAAATATTATTTTAAAATGCATAAACTTGATAACCACATGTATCTTAGTAAAATGAACAGAATAAAATATAATACATGTCCAAATTCCAAATGCTGGTTGTAACTTACATCTTCCATACTTCTTTCCAATGATAGCAAATGCTTTGCCAGTGTTTTAGGGTTTGGGTTTTTTTCTTTTATTTCAAGAAAAATTTATTTTCTCTTTTTCTCCCAAAACAAAGAAAAATGCGCACCCCCCTCCCCCCCAGTCCTTAACAAATGTGTGGTCAAACAAAGCAAATTCCCACAATGGCTATATCCCAAAACAGACATCTCATTCTGCATCTTGATCCCAACACCTCTCTGTCAGAAGGTGGGTCCTTCCTTAGTCTGCTGGAATGGTTTTGCTAATGTTTTCAAAAGGAACACCAGAAAGGACATTTTGTACCTATTGCCGAAGCAGCATACAGATTATTTCTTACTTGTCTCTTTTGAACTTGAAGTACTTGGTTTTGGCAACTTAACCAAAACACTATATGTTGTTTATAGTAATTTATTAATGGGACCTGGTTTTGTTTGATTTTTCTTCATGAAAAGCTTGTTTATTTTGCCTATTCCTACTCCGTAGATGACTTCAAATTTTGCTTGTTTATGTGTTTCTGAATAAGCTCTTATCCAGCTGGCCAGTGTGTCCCTCTGCAAGGAGAAATCTTGATGTATAAAAAAATGGGATTTTCTAAAAAACATTTTATGATGTCTTCTTTCCTTCCTGTGCTTATAATCAATTGAGGAGGAGGTCAAGGGGTGTGTCATGATAAGGCAATGACTGGTGGCAGGGTTTTTTTTTTTAGGCAATTGGGGTTAAGTGGCCTAGGGTCACACAGCTAGTAAGTGTCAAGTTTCTGGTCTGAGATCGGATTTGAACTCAGGTCCTCCTGACTTCAGGGCCGGTGCTCTATTCACTGTGCCACCTAGCTACCCCTGGCAGGGTTTTGATAATATAGTTTTCTATTTTAAATTATTCATCTGTGAATAATCCTACTGTTTAAGCCAAGGATTGTTCTTGGAAAGGTTCTCTTAAAGGAATACACTTACCCGCTTTCCATTGAACCAACCACTGCCACGTTAAATCTATTTTCAAAGTCACAACCATAGGACACACCTGCTGCAATGATTGTCTGAAAAAAAAAACAACCCCACAAAACAAATTACACACGTTAAAAACCCTATAACCAAATAAGACGCTCTATCCCATCTTGTTTCACTTACTATCCTCATCTTTGCAATTTTACTCTTTGACGCATGGAAGGGCAGAAAACCACATTTCTTATAATGGGACTCAAATTCTTAGCCCTCCCAAGGTGAAATCTCTTAGGGGTGCTACATCAAAATCCTTTCTTTTTTCTCCCCTGCTCTTTGACTTGGTCCTTCAAATACTCCTGCCTTCAATTTCCTAGGCTGCAAATAGTGCTCTAACAACTAGCAATGTTAGTCTACACAGTATTAGTTCTATCTTCTCAACCCTGGCATTGCAAAGCATTTCTGTTATATCTTGTTTGTTGCTGGCTACTGCAGCAAAAATTATTATTAATATTTATTAAATGGGAGGCAGCATGGTCTAGTGGATAAAGTGATTATATATACATAAAAATAAAATCAGGAATATGTATATATGTATCTATATATATCAGGAAGATAGATAGACAGGAATATATGGGTTCCGATCTTGTCTCTGACTCTTAGTCATGTGACCAAGACCAACTCCCTTAGCCTCCACAATGCAGTAGTACTTTGCTCTGTCACAGAGAGTTGAGATTTGGCTTCAAAGGGGGAAGTGTCAATACTGGGAGTCTCACACTACTGAAATCACAGATCCTTCATCTATTTGAATATTTATTAAATGTTCACAATGCAATAATTACTGTGCACAGTACATAATAGAAATTACATTTTATAGGTTAAAGTAAGCTCAAAAAATCAGGAAATGGGCAAACTTGCATACCAGATGGTTCTCTCACATTTTGATTTATTTGTGGCGTGTAGAGGGACATAAAAGCAGCTCAGTATCTAGAAATACGTTGAAGGTACAAAGAAAGCCCTGATTAAAGAGAACAATTAAGAGAGTTGATAGAATATGACCAGTGAAAGAGATGCCAGAATTAAGAGTTTTGTTCTTATAAACATAAAACTACATTTCAAAAGATGTACTTTTTGTTAAAAAAAAAAGACAACTTAGTTCATATACAGAGAACCATTTAAAGAACTTTTCTGAAATTTGAGAATTAAAAAAATGAACTGATATGGAAATAAACTTTCCCCTTAATTCTAAGTTTTGCCAGAATCATGAAAAAAAAGTTATTAAACCTTGAATTGCACATGGATGATAGATTTAGATCTAGATGGGACCTTAGAAGTCATCTAGTACTACCCCCTCTTCTTATAAATGAAGAAACAGAGCTCTAGGGAGGACAAATAACTTGTCCAATGTCATATAAGGTAGCAAGTAGCAGAGACAGGATTTGAATCCAAGTCCTTTGACTTCATCCACTCTGCAGACTTTCCTTAATGCCACAGTTCTGAAGTATGATAGTTGTATGTAAGGAACTTATGAGATCTTGGGTTTGCTAATGCCTCAGGGTCATGCAAGCATGTATAAGATAGAGAATGTATAAAAGCTATAAAGGAAGCTTTCCAATAAACACTTACCACGATGAGTTCAATTGGAATGGGTACTGGTAGTTTTTTATTGTATTTCTGATTTATTTCTTTAACTACGAACACAATTACCAGAATTATGATGGTTGTCACAAGATCTGCAATATTAGTTTTCTGAATTTGTGAAAAGACAGATATCAGAACCTAAAAAAATGAAAAAAAAACCCACCTCTGGAATTATATTAACATATCACCTTCACCCAACACAATGAGCTACATTTTTTTCCAAAGAGAAAAGGAGCCGAAAGTGACAACAAATTGACAGTGAATATGCTCTCATGCTAATTGGGAACTCATTTAGATGATAATTAGTATGTAGATGGCAGGAGAAGACATCAGGAATCACCTGGTGAGGCTCAATCAGCATTCTGGAGCAGAGCTCCAGTAATTCTTGTTAAAGATCATTTTGACAGATGGCAAATTCCATGGACATGCCTCAACATTTTTACATTTATTTTTACTCTGCTTTCATGCCTTCACAGGTATATTTCTTTGTTACACAATTAGTCTGTATTCTCTTGTGAAAAAATGGAGTCCCAACCAATTCCTCTTAGAATGTATCCTCCCTAGTTTCTCTCTTTAATATACCCAGGTCCCCAAATTTGGAAATCAGTGTCCTAGGTGGTACAGTATGAGCCAAAAGCAGACAGTTAATTAGTAACCCACATCTCTACCCCTGGGACCTCTTTGGCTTCTAGTTCTGGTGGAAGAAGAGTGACTAGATTAATTCATAGAAGGCCTGCTTGACCAAAAGTAAAATTATATCCTAAAATAAAATTTAGTCTTGAATCCCTAACACTTGACTGAAGTATAAAAGATGACTGAAGAACAAATTCAATTGTCTTCCAGTGGAGAACACTAGTGGTTGAATCAGACCTGTCAAAGTGAAGTCATTTTTTATTTGGGAACAGGAACTGGGTATTTAGAAGGAAATATTTCTGACATGATTAAATTAGCAGTATGAAATCTGCTAGCTAGGAGGCACAGTGGAGAAAACGCTGGGCCTGGAGTCAGGAAGATTCATTCAAATCTAGCCATAGATACTTATTAGCTGTGTGGCCCTGGGCAAGTCACTTAACCCTGTTTGCCTCAGTTTCCTCATTTGTTAAATGAGCTGAAGGAAATGGCAAACCACTCCAGTATTTTTGCCAAGAAAACTCCAAATGGGGTCATGGAGAGTCAGGCATGACTAAAAAAAGACTGACTGAATGAGTCTGATAAAGTTTTAAGAACATAGGAGAGATTATAAGGATTTGAAAAGTAATAATGCATGTTGAATCTCCCCCCCTCTCATTTTTAGAATACTCAAGAGTTGAGGTCAAGAGATGTGGTTTTAAATTACTGTTATTAATGGATAATGTTCTATTAATAATAATATAATATTTCACTAATGGTTAGAATGTGAATCATAGTAATTTAAAATCATCTTTCTCATCTCTGATTCTTCTTTTATTATCTTAATAATAGCAACCCACACTTATATAACACTTAAAGATTTAAAAATGATTTTTCAGCAATTCTATAAAGTAGGCAGCGCAAGTATTATTATCCCCGGTAAAGGCTTAGATAGGCTAAATGACTTGCTGATGGTCATGAAGTTAGTGTCAAAATTAGGATTTGAACCCAGGTCTTCTGACTCCAATGACTGCAGTGCTCTTTCCAATATATGTCATTTTCCCATTAGTATCTATTCCAGTATGATTTGTAGAGTCAATTATCATTGTTTATCCAATACTTACTATCCTTTGGTTTAAATTAACTCTACAAGCTTCCCACCTTTACAGTGAGGGTGAGGGGAAAAAGAATCCCAAGGATCAGGCAGTTCGTTAGGAAAAATATGGGGAGTCAGAGTAGGAAGAAATTTCTTAGGAAAAGAAATAATAAGACTGGGGAAATGCTTACTTTGAAGACTGCAAAAGGGTCAGTGTACGAAGGGACTGAGAGCTGGAGCATAAATTTCAGCTGGGACACCACAACAAGAATTGCTGCACCTGTTGTGAAGCCACTAATTAGTGACGCAGATAAGTAGGCCACTATGAATCCAATCTGTAACATTCCCAGGGCCAGCTGAAAAGGAAGGTCACAAAGCCATCGTCGGTATGAAATACTAGGTTATCTCAGCAGCCTGAAGCATCAACGAATACTATCGTCCAGAATATAAAGGTATGAATTGAAGCAAAAATCCAGAGCCTGGTGCTCTGACTACAGGGCATGGTACCAATCTATGCTGCCCTCCTCCCCTGGTGTATTTCACAGTTTTCAAATGGGAGCAGAAACTTAGCATTCTCAAGTGATAACAGGAATTAAAGTTAAGATGCACTTCAAAAAACTGAACATAAGGTTTTATATGCAATCCTCTTTATTTTGTTCTTTGAAATCTTCAGATTTATTGATGCTTAAGTTCAAAATAATAGAGGAAAATTGTTTAAAAAGACAGAACTTGTTTAGTAACTATGTCTTTATATCTTTCACCAATAATTTTTTATAATAATAACTAGCACTTATATAGTGTTTTAAGGTTTACCAAGCACTGTATATATTATCTCATTTGATCTTCACGACAGCCCTGGAAAGTATGTGCTATTATCTCCATTTTAAAGATGAAGAAGCTGAGGCAGACAAAGGTTTAGTGACCTGTCTAGGGTCACACAGCTAGTAAATGTTTGAGGTGAGATTTTAACTCAAGTCTTCCTGATCCCTAGCCCAACACTCTCTCCATTGTATTACTTAGCTGACAAGCTTTTGGATACCCATAAAACCCAGTTGTGATGCTATCAGGGGTACGCGTGTGCATGTGCGTGTGTGGGTGCTCAAGTGCATGTGTGCCTCTTAAAGTCTCCTGAGCCAGTTACTCTATTTAAATAAAAGTACAAAGCTGCATATCCTAGGACATCTGGAATGCTCGGTCTTAACTGCAGATTGCTATGGTCAACATCCCAAAGCATCCGTATTAAGCACTAGACAAATGAGGGTTTCTCAATTCCTGACATGATATGGCCATCTCTTCTACTCATTGGGCTTCCCTGAAAAGCAGTATGAAATACATGCCACAAAGATACACAAAAATTGGACATTTTTGTGAACATGGTCTTTACGAGTAGTCCAAATGATTGTTTCCCTGGGGGCTACATTGCTTATGTATTTATAGAAATTTACTTTTTAAAAAGAACACTAAATGCGTTACCTAATAACAGTAACCAAAGGCTCGGGCAAAGTCTCAATGATTCTGTATCATCTTTAATATTTCATGATTTGACTTTTGAGTTGTTATGTTAAATTTTACTTGGGTGTTTTTTTGAATGGCAGATTTCAAACTTTAGCTGGACCTCATTTCCATTCCTACCAGGGCCAAGTGACTGGGCATTTGCCACAGGGCACCAACTTTTTTCCTTTGGTAAGGATACACTTCTTTCCAATGGTGGTCCTTATGCTTGCTTTGGCCCTGGGCCACATGGCTCCACAATAATTCTGTCCTTTCCCCAAGGCTCAATTTTTGCCCCAGAGTCCCATACCTCTTCCTACCCCAATACCATTCCCCTACCCTACCACCTCCTCTTATTTGTCTTCTCCCAAGATTTGTATGATTGTTCCCAACTAGGATGGATTGTGTGCCCTGCTCTAAATTGTCCCCAGGTGCCAGAATTACCAATTACAGCTTGACTTCATAGATAGCGTTTGCAAACTCACCCCTCAGCTTCTGAAAACTGATCTAAAATTATTTTGTTAAGTAACATAGGGATAAAACTCAGGGGAAAGTGGAGAATAGACAATTTTTGGGAACTAGCCCTAGGGGGGAAAAACAACAATTTGCGACAAGCAGCCAGACCACTCTACTTCAAAGTAGTTTGATTGGTCAGTAGATTTCACATGATAACACTGACCTGAATAATTCCAACTAGAACGGTGATGGAGGCAGCTGCGGTTGCTTTATCAGAGTCTTCCGTGTAGCCTGTGTTTATAACTACTGTTCCCACCATTATACACAGAATTGGAAAAGGACCTAATTAACATTAGAGGTGAATTATGATTAGAAAGTGCTTCTTAAAAATATAATTATCATTCAAACACAATTTGAAAAAAAATTTAAGACAAATTTCTATTTGTAACTCCCAGTCTCCCATAGAGCACAAAATGACAGATCTGGAGGCTGCTGAAATGGATGGTTAAAGAGATGCAAGAAAGCAAAGGAGGGTCAACCTCAATCACCATGATGACTTCACTTACCAACAGATATGTGTCTAGAAGTGCCAAAGAAGAAGTAGATTATGACGGGGAAAAAGGCTGAATAAAGCCCATAAGATGGGGGGACGTCTACCAGCAAAGCGAAAGCCATACCTGTAAGCACACAACAGATGGGAGCTCTGTTACATTCAACAATTAGAAGCTCAGGCTAGCTCTCATCCACTTCTCTACGTATTTGATATTTAGACTTCATAGACGGTTACCTTGCAGTACAGCTACCAGACCAGTGCTTATGCCAGAAACAATATCACTGAACAGCCATTCCTTTAGACGATAGGCCGGTAACCAAGAGACTATGGGGAGCAAGGAAAGGGCTATTTTCTTGGCCTTTCGCGACGAGCACCTGAAAATATTTTTAAAAGCCATAGGTCAGTCAGCAAGAGCTTCTCTAAAGTCTGAGTCTAGTAATAGCTAATCCCGATCACAGCTGGACAAACTGAAGGCCCAGTGTATTAGCAAAGATTAAAATATACCAAAGATTAAGTCAAAAGCACTACCTCCTGCTGTCTCTCATATCTTAACTCTCCCTTCCCCTGTCCTCACTCCCCTCCCACTCTCCCAGCAAGACTTCATTTCTTCCTAGTAGTGAAACATGCCTCTACTGATAATCATTCTCTTACAACTGGTTTATTTCTTTGGACAAATTGTGTTGAAAGCCAAGAGGGTGTTCACTTTAGAGTCTATCCTTGAAACTCTAGCAGGTGGTGGGAGAGTTGGGAGCCCAAAAGAAAAAAAAATCAATGGGAAACGAATGAAGATTTGAGTCACAGCCAAAAAAAGTGGCTGAAAGCTCAGGAATTTTGGAGTCAGACCCTCATCCATCATTAAGCCTGGGATTTAAGATATTCCTTACCTACAGTGTTTCCTGAAATGGTCCAAAATTGTCTTATGGTGTCTTATCTTCTTATGTTCTTCACTAAAAGCATTTTGTGAGTACACTCGTCTGGCCACGACATACTGATTCCCCATGGGCTCAATCATTTTGCTTTTCTTGTCTTGTGCTGAAGGCAGAGCTTTCTGGAAGTTGGTCTCGGATGCTTCTCCTTACCTTTAGCTGGTTAAAAGCCCTGAAAATAAACAACCAAACCTGCTTCTTAAATAACTCAGAGAAAATGTGATGCAGTTTACAGATGAGTGAACTCCGAACTAAATGTTATCACCTTTTGAGATCAAAAGAAGCTGGATTAAGGAACTGAGATTGTGTTTTGCCACAGTGATATTCCTCTTTACTCCAGTGAGCAGTGCTTACCCCACTGCTCTGGGGTAAGCAAACAAGGTCCTTTTGAAAAAGACTGCCAAAAAGCACAAAAATTGGACCCATTTTGCTCATCAACGAGTCAATTTTTTACCTTTTCATCAAGGAAAGGTCCTTTTTTTTTTTTTAATAGAAAACTTTCCAGAGTTTTGGTGTTGGGATACAGAACAGAATAGGCATAAAGGCAACTCTGTGAATCCAACCCAAGCCAGAGATGTTCCAATGTCTTTGCTTTCCGTTTTAAGGTATGTCTCATCAATAAAACTCAAAGATATTAGTTTTCAAGTAATTTTCCTGTTATTGTCCCTGAGAGTTGAAGCGGAAGCAGGGAGGGGGGTTGCATTTTATATTTATCTTATAGATGAGGAGCAGAAAAAGGCCCAATGACTTGACCAAGATGACAAGTGATCAGTAAAGATTTCATTTAAAATGGAAATCCAGGAAACAAAAAGATAGGAATTTCTGGGAACCAGCTCACTGCACAAAGCTAGAAGAAATGTGGCTTCATTATCTCGTATGTTTGTGTTGCGGAAGTAAACTCTGCCTCTTCTTTGGACCTACACCCCTTCCCAGTGAACTAGATTAGACACTAAATAAGTTCCTCTTCTCTTTTATGATATCTTTTTTTGTAGTTGCTTGGGCCCTAGGACTTGGCATCTAATTATAGAATGGATCCTAATTTTAAGTCTCTACCAAGTCAATGTTTTGAAAACAATTAACAACAGTCTTTTCCTTCTCCCCATTGAATGGACCCCACAATGACTCCTTTAGCTTGCTGCATACAAATATCTGTATCATTTTACATATTTGGCTCTATCTTGGTCAATCAATTGAATTATTGCTTAAATGTTTTATTGAAAACTCGACTTTATACCCTAGCTGTTAAGTGGATGATGTGTAAACAATTGTCTTCTTATCTTTATCTCTTCGCCCATTGCACACTTTTTCTCTTATGTTTATCATTTATTAGCATAAGACACTCCCTATAATCACAATTTCCCTTATCATTTTAGTACCTCTTCACTTAATCCAGATTAGTGATATCATCACTGGGGAAATCACTCCACCAATGCTGATTGGCTATTTGCCAGTAACTTGTAGCCTTAGAATGTTGCTTAGGGATCTGAGAGGATAAGTGACTTGCTCATGATCACATAGTTAGTATGAGGCCGAGTCCAGTTGGAATCCATATCATTGGCTCTCCAATGTCAGTTTGTTATGTTCTACAACACATTGCCTTTATATGCACCTTGATTTATGAAAAAAAAAAATGCATGATGGATAAAAGTAGATTACAGCAAATTACCAACATGGATTTGTACATGAATGGCATAAAAGCCATCACCAAGTCACAGCAGTCAGAGAGGTGAATTGATCATATAATGAGAATGAAGACCAACCAACATGGTCCATTAGTGTAAAGGTATGAAAAGAATTTGAAGAAGTCTTTCGATAAATTGGGTGGATCCTCTCTGAAGAACTTTCAAAAGGACAAAGACGAGAATTTTGCGGGAGAGAAGGTGGGGAGGGATTGCATTTAGTACACACCAGTAAAAACTATAGATGTTAATAGTAACAGCTCACATTTATACAAAGTTTTAAGGCTTAAAAGGTGAACCCCACCCAAGAATCTAAGTATCTCTACTCTTTATTCCCCGTGTTCTATTTCCTGACCTCACCCACATTTATTCTGCATTGTTATATTGTACTGTATTGTATTTTTATTACCTCTATAACTAAATAGCAAAGGTGGTGGTAGCATGGTGTGGAGTCAAAAGCAGGAGTCTGGAACATTTGCTTCTGGGTTCTAGTTTCACCTTTGGACTTTGCTCATTTTGTGACCTTGGGCAAGTCAATTATGTTGTGTATATTATAGTGGCTATTCCTTTCGTGTATGGGTTGGACTAAGCTTACTAAGGTTCCTTCCAACTCTCAAATTCTGTGATTAACCATTTTGGATCTTAGTGTACTATTTATAAAGTGATGAAACTAGACTAGTACTATTTATAAAGTGATGAAACTAGACTAGATGCTTTTTAGGGTGCCTGCCCACTTGAACAACTTTCTCTTCTCAAATCATTCCCCACCTCCACCTCAGCTTTTCCTAAGAAAACCACTATTTGTCAGTTCCCTCCTGTTCTTTTTGCACTTCAAATTCCTTCAACAATGTTCCCTACTTTCTCCCCCTTTGTTTAAGTCTCAAGGGAACAATGGCAACCTCTGGAGTCCTTGATCCCATCCCTTTACATCTCCTCTGGGAGCTTGATCACTCCTTGCCTCTTTATGATCTTTAATTTTCTACTGCTACTGGTTCCTTCTCTACTGCCTTCAAATATACTCAAATCTCTACCATCCTTATAAAAAATCCTTCATTTATCCCTGTCATCCCATCATATATATGTATATGCACATATGCATATGTATCATCCTCCTTTTTGTATCCAAACTCCTAAAAAAATAAGTTTCCTAAGGTATTGCATATACTTTCTTAATTCTCACTTACTTTTCAAACCCTTGTAATCTAACTTCTCAAACAACCACTTACCTGAAAGTTGGTTTATCCAAGATTACCATCAATCTCTTAACTGCTAAATTCACTTCCTCTTCCTAAATGTTTGTTCTCTCGTTCTCTCGTTCTCTCGGTCTCTCTCTCTCTCTCTCTCTCTCTCTCTCTCTCTCTCTCTCTCTCTCTCTCTCTCTCTCTCTCTCTCTCTCTCTTTCCAACTCATTGAACTCTCTTGGTTCTCCTACTACCTGTCTGACTATTCTAGCTCAGATTCCTTTACTGTATCATTATCCATGTCTTGCTCTTTGGATGCAGGTATTCACCGGGGCTGTGTCCTAGATCCTTTCCTTTTTTTTCTCTATATTCTCTCTTAGCAATTCCACTAGCTCCCATTGGGTTTAATTATTATCTCTATGGAGAAGAAATCTATATTCATCTCTCCTTTGTCTTGTGAGCTATAATACTGAATTAACAACTGCCTGCTGTGTATCTTCATCTAAATGTCCCAGTATCGTCTCAAATTCAACATTTCCATAACTCAACTCATTATCTTCCCTTCCCTTTAAAAAAAACCCTCACCCCCTTTTAACTTGCCTGTCTCTTTTGAGAATACCACCATCCTTCCAGTTATTCAAGTTTGTAACCACATGGTCATCTTCAACACATCCCTCACCTGCCCTCAATCCAATCAGTTGACAGGCTTGTCACTTTGACTTTCACAGTATCTAGTATCTATTTCCTTCCTTCCACTCGCACAGCCACCCACATAGTGGTCACTTTCCTCTTGGACTCTTTTCTTTAATCCATCCTTCACATCATTGCAAAATTGATATTCCTAAAGCTCAGGTTAATTTTATTCATTATCTTATTTAAGAAACTCCAGTGCATCTCTCTTACCTCTAGGACAAAATACAAATCTCACCTGTTTGGAATTTATAGCCTTCCACAATCTGGCCTCACTTGTCCCCCCACTAAAAATAAAACTTATTACTCCCCTTTGTATGCTCTAAATCCCAGCAAAAATGGTATATTAGCTTTTCTCCATACAGAACATTCTATCTCTTGCCTCCATATCTTTTTTTTTTTTTTAAGGCAATTGGAGTTAAGTGACTTGCCCAGGGTTCCAGAGCTAGTGTCAAGTGTTTGATCTGAGGCCGAATTTGAACTCAGGTCCTCCTGACTTCAGGGCCAGTGCTCTATCCACTGCACCACCTAGCTGCCCCTTGCCTCCATATCTTTGCACAGACTGTTCATCCCCCCATACCTGGAAAGCTCTCTGTCCTTACCTCTGCTTCTTGGCATCTGTAGCTCCTTTCATGATTCAGGGAAAGTGCCACTTCATATAAGAGACATTTCTTGATTCCCCCAGTTGACCTGGTTCTCCACCCCACCAAAGAAATTATTTTGCATTTACTCAGCACATTTTTTGTATGCACTCCTCTGTGTACATTTCATATTTCCCCTGACTCACAGTAGAAAGTACCTTGAGAGTAGGGATATTTTGATGTTTGTCTTTGTATTACTTATTTTATATATGAGTATATACACACACACATATATGTATATATACACACACACACATATGTATATATATATATATATACACACATATATAATTTAATACATATATAATATAATCACCAGTGATTAGTATATAGTTGCTACTCAATAGATGCTTGTTGAATTTAATTGAATTGTGAATCCAGGAATTATAACATTACATCCCATACTAAGATTGTTGAGCTAAGAATTATTTACAAGGCTCTGCCCCTGTTCCATTCTGGAATGACCTAACCACTGCTTCCATTGCTCTGACCACCATCACAAGTCATCTTTAACTTTCTCAATGCTGACCCTGTCTGAATCTGGTATGGCCTCTCTGCTCTGCTTCCCACTTAGACATCTGACTGTAGAGGCAGTGTGGGAAAGTGGGAAATTAACCATTAATACACATTGATTATGGCTAAGTTCTTGGCATTCTAAGATGAAAGTGATACAGTCCTTGCCCTCAAGGAGACAACTCATATATATATATATATATATATATATATATATATATATATATATATATATATATATATATATATGTGTGTGTGTGTGTAATACCTTGTTACAGTAATTAGATTGTTTTCAGTCTAGGGAGCAATATAATGGCCCCTAAAGTCTACTTGGTTTCCTTCTCTTTGGCATTAAGGGACTTCATTTTAAATGAAAAGTTCTAAATTC